TTAGTTACAAAGACTAAAAGTAAAATAATGGAACTGTTCTATTATTTTGCTATTATGTTACTATTATGTTACTTATAGTGACAAACCTCCTGTTATTTTACTGTTATTCTACTGTTATGCTGCTGTTATGCTGCCATTATTTGGCGGATATAGGGTAGAATAATGACAGTTTTTTTTTCTGTTATTTACCTATTATTCACCCTTTATTCATTCGTTCAACCTGTGATATATTCATGAAACTATACTAAAATATAATAATAAAATTCGTTTTATAACAATATTATAAAATTTTTATTGATTAAAAAAATTTTATTTGTAGCATATATATTAGAAATGCAGACAGAACTTAAAGTATTGAGATTTGTCATAATATAACTGAGTTATAACTAGTTATAACCTTTTGCTTTAAGTTATAGTATATCATAATGTGCATGTATGTTGTAATTCAACTTTATATATCAAAACTTGCAGTAATTTGTTATAAATTGTTATAATAACATCATCTTTTTTTAGACTGATTAGACAGTGTATTTTCTTTTTTGGATAAGTATTTTGATTATCAATTTCTTAAGATGTAATATTTTCATTACACTCTTGAAGTGGTTTTAATAATTATCAGAAATAGAATACTAATACATAAGAAGTTTGATATTATAGATAATAAGAAGCTATTATTATTTAGAACTAAATTGTCTTTGTTCATATTCATTATAAAGGTTTCTGATTAATTATCAAAAAATAAATAAATAATATTATAAAATGACAAAAATTATTATTAATCGAAGAATCTAGTTTTTATATAATTATTTATTATAATATATATAGTACTATTTATTTTTTGTGCAGGCAGAAATTATATAATATTATGACAGTATTCTTTATTTAAATAACCTTAGTCAGTATACAACAAAAAAAATGGCTATAAAAAGATAATTGCAAATCTAATATTTGCTTTAATAATACAATTATATTAAAGAAATTTAAAAAACTTTGTTTTTAATTATAATAATACTATTTCACTAACTAAAAGAATTACAAAAGTTCTTTAATCTAAATAACTATCATGTTCTATTAAGAATTTTAAGATTTTCATTTAAGTAGTACTGTTGTAATAACTAACAGATTTTAAAACTTTCATCAAGAACAAAACTATTATGCAAACTAAAAGAATTATCTACAAATATTATATAAAAACTTAAAATGCACCTAGTGAAATAAAAACTATTACTTTAAAATTAGTTGTTTTTATTGATTAAAACAGTGATTATAAGTCACAAAATCCTATTATACAATCATATAGAAATGTGAAATAATGTTTAATTAAATGCAAATACTGACAGCACTTAGAATTTATACAGCAATTATGATTCATATGGCAATTTGAATTTATATGGCAATTTGGATTAATATAACAATTGGGATTCATACAGTTTTTGCTACAACCATAATCATAACTTGTTGTGTGTTGTACTGGGATGCATTATATACTAATTAATTAAAATTATATTAAGTATTATAATAAAAATTAATAATACAGATTTTTATTATGATGATCATTGGAACTTAACAAATAGCTGTAGCAAAATGGTCAAAATTAAAACTATTTAATTGAAATAGATTATATTATTAAAAATTTTTAGTTATTTGCTATTAGTTAGTAGTCATACTTGGCTGAAAAGCTAAAAGTGCTTAGTTGTCAACATAGGCAATTATATAAAAACTGTTTTATTAATGTGTTCAATTTGATGACTACATATTATTCTAATTACAAATTTATAACACTATTACTATAACATTAATTTTATTGATATAAAAATAATTCTTTAAAAAGATTATTAGCAGCTTGCTCTTATTGTTTATCTAATTAGAAAACTAAAATAGTAGAATTTTGTTGATGTGTATATTTATTTTTTTGAATATTTTTTAATTGCTTATTAGTAACTTGGATTTTATCTATTTTAGTAGCAGAAAGACACATCTTAGATTGCTGAATAGAATTAGTCATATTAGGATGAGTTTTTAAATCCTACTTGTTAAATAGACTCTTAATTTGTTGCTAATGAACAATAATATATCAAATCTTATTTTTGACAAAATCATAAAGTGAAGGGTATTCATAAAGTAAGGTATTTGATTCTTTAACAAATAAGCTAAATTCTAAAAAAAATAATTCATTACTTAATGCAGTTTTAAAATCAAAATTATTGAGCCATTCTTGTATAATATCCATTTTAAGAAACTTTGCATAGCAAAGTTCTTTTAAACTAGGAAATATTGACCAAGCTTTATTAAAAATAATGTGCCAATAACTATAAGCAAATTGTTATGCATTTTCTTTTTCAAGACAACACAAACTTAAAGAAAGATACAACTAGCAATTTAACTATTTTTGGTGCAATGCAAGTCTCTTTTGTAGATCTTGTTCTAATTTTTGAACTAATGATACTAATTCTAAATTATTCATTATTTCTGTTCCTTGTAAAAGTTCAGTACCAAAAAATAAATAAAGATTTTCTATAATATTTACTAGTTTATGCATAGAATTAAAAATAAAATCAGGCATTTGGTATGCCTTATAATTAGGTAGTAAGTGCTAAACTTATTTGTTTGTATAACTCTTAATTGTGAATCATAACTAACAAGAAATTTAGTAAACAATTGATAAAACTCTTTACTAAATTTAACTAAACACTGAACCTTAAGATTTAATTTAGTATCAGTTAACTAATTATAGAATAATTTTCATTTTTGAATATAAGATGTCAGAACCTTTTTTAAACTTTTAAGTTTAGGAAAAAACCAAGTAACAAATCTTAAGTGGACTTTATATTTTTCAAGATATTGCTTTGCAGTAATTAATTCATATTGCCATTATAAATATAAAGAATATTGGTATTTAGTTAAATTATAATTAAATCATGCCTTATAGAGCCTTTGAATTGTTTTACTTCTTATATTTAATAGTGAATCTTTATCATTTTGATTATAATCATCATGTAATATTCATGCTAAATAAAGAAGGTTGTATGAATGATAAGTTTTCGAAAATTCAGTATTTGTTGAAAGTTTTCTAAAAGCAGTATTTTCAAAATTATTTAGAATCAAATATAAAATATATAATCTGTATAGAATTCTAATATAACTATTTTGTATTAATCAATTAAATTTTACAATGACTCCTTCAACTTGACTACTTATATAGTTTGTGTTATCTGTAAGAAAAGTAAGATATTGCTTAGTATTTATATTATATTTTATACATGTTTCTATAAGAGCCTAACTAATTATATTAGAATTACATCATATAAGATCTTTTATTTTCAAAAGTACAGTATTAGATATGTTCTTTATAGAATTTCAAAACATAAAATATTTAACAAGTATTTTTTTTTCATCTTGTCCTGATTCATTAGTCATAATTCTAAATAAAAAATAATCTGACTAGTTGGCTTATTGAAATATATTTTGTATATGTGATTCTAAAAACTTATAATGTTAATGTCTAATTATTGTAGTTGGTATCCAAGACTGAGTATTGTCTTTAGTTAAAAAATTAAAGATTATTATTATACTTTATACTGCAATATTAAAGAAAATTTGATTTATTTAAGAAACTTTAGTACTAAGTTTCATAAAATTCAAATTATAGTCTTTCATATTTTGGTAAATTAAATTTCAAATTATTGCTTTTATATTATCAATATTTAATTCTGATAGACATTTAGTTGATACCTGAATTCAAGATATATATTGATTATAGTTATGTTTAAATTGTATAATAGAACTACTAAGTTGTTGAACTTTGTGAACCATATTATTTTTTGATTTTTCAAGCTTATTAAAGTTATGTATAAGCTGTTTATTTTGATAATTCAATTTATCAAATAATCATTTAGGTTTGTAAAGAGAACTTGATAAATATTGACAAACTTTGGTTTGTAAGTATGGTAATATGATCTGATTTTTATTTTTTTTATATGAATACCTTATAGTACATAAAAGAGATAATACTGATTTAAGATTGAATTCAGATATTTCTTTAATAGTGTTAATTATTACATTATATTTTTTAGATGAATTTGATTTATTAACTTCTGAAGAATTACAAACAATATTATGTATTTTTAAAGTTCAAAATCAGATACTTTTTTTAAATGAATAATTATCTTATTAATAGTATCTTGATGTTAATCTGATTTGTGTTTTAGAGCAAGTGATTTGCATGCATTTTTTAGTTGCAATTTATGTTTAGAAGTTTAGGCATATTCAAACTTCAAAAAGATTTAATGTTAAAACTAGCAAAAAAAAGCTTGATAAAATTTGATATAAAATACAATAACAAGTTTTCCTTCAAAGTTACAGTTTTAAATTTAAATGACTAACTAATTAAAATATTTTGAACTGTAATTTTCTTTTGTTACATATGTTAATTGTTTTCAACAAAAAACTATCATCAAAAAATGGATAGTAAACAAATTGAATCAATTTTTCGAATGCTAACTTTGCAAGTCGTAGACTAGTAAAACTACTTAACGATTTTGTTGATCAATTTATGCACAAAATCTGTACTATTGATTTTTACTATAATATCTAACATAGTTTTGATAAATTAGTGTTTGACGCACCCCAGTGTCGTACGGTTCATTGGGACAGTTTCGCCTGCACCTCTAGTATATATCATACAAAACTATATAAAAATGATCTACGTGTCTTCTACCCTTAAAGCCTACAAAGTTTTAAGTAGGATCTTTATGTATATACGTATTTATTACTTTCGAAAAAAAAGTGTAAAGAAGCAAGGCGACAGATTTTATACACACGGTCCGGATTTGCAGGACAGAAGAATACCCCTGTTTTCCTAGTATTAATTTTAACCAATCAAAATTATGAACGATCAGCCAATAAAAATGAGTTTCCCTGATGCTTAGCGCGTTCTACACAGTTGTTCAAAACCTTGAAAAAAATGTCACACGTAGTAGGAACTATTAGATGCGTGGGAAGCTCGTCAAATTCCTTAAGCTCGCGTTTAAATCATACTTCATTTGGTAAATTTATAACACTAGAAAAATATTTAATTGAGCTTCTGAAAATAGTTCTAACAAATGTTTTAGAGCCGAAATATTTGGACGGCGTCACCAAATTAACTTACGTGGAAGGTTTCGATGGTGATTATGTTAAACTTGAAGATTTGCTTCAAAAGGTAGTACGTGTAATCGAAGAATTTGTTTACATTCAAATCTGAATTATGTGTGCTTTTTTTTTTTTTTAAAAAAAAAAAAACAAGGACCACCTCAAAAATGCGTTCTTATGTGCGTTGACTGTTGATTTGGAGTGGCTATTAAAGAAATTACCTCAAAATATTCTTATTGTAATTGCAAAACATTGGAACTCTGCACAGGAAGCTGTAAGACTATTTGATTCAGAACTAATATTCATATAAGAGCGTAAAAAATTGAAATGTGATTGTTTTACCAGGGATGTGGGAATTTTGCGATTTACGGTGTTTCTAAAGAATGTAAATTTGTAAAGCCTAAAAGTATATGTTCCTTAGGATCGCTGTAAATCACAAGATTCCCACATCCTACTTTTATTATTTGTATAGGAGGGTGTATACATTTTACCGGATACAAATATATTACTTGTGCATCCACCGCTTCCGAACGCAACATTCGGATGTTTTCATGCAAAATTAATGCTGCTATTTTTCGATGGATGGCTGAGAGTAGTTGTCGCTTCAGGAAATTTAATATCTTATGATTGGGAGGTTAATGAAAATGTTGTATTCGTTCAAGATTTTCCTAGTCGCCAGGCTACAGACTCAAATGATGATAATCTTCATCCATTTGCTCAAGATATCAAAGATTTTGTCTTAGCAATGGGCCTTAAAAATCATATTGTTAATAAACTTTCTCAATATGATTTCTCAAGAGCCAAGGTAAGGTTGAAACTAAATATCATTATATTCAATATACGATTCATCATCATTTAATCTGTTAATGTTAATGATAATGAATTGGATTACGAAGGCGAAACTTGTTGCCTCCATACCAGGTGTATATAAAGGAACTGAAGACATCAGAAGATACGGTCACAGGCGTTTGTGCAAAGTTATTAAGGATGTCTGCGGCCCAAATGAAAATATTATATTAGAATGTCAGGTAGGAATAATTATTGTATATTTCTCGGTAATAAATATTCAACATACTGTATAACCAATATATATGAAAGACTTCGACTCTTGGCGGCCTTACCGCTGATTTTCTACATGAATTTTATCGTTCTGCAAGCGGAATTGATACTATAGAAATTTCAAAGTCGCGTACTAAAAAGAATCAGGAAGTTGAAAGACCATTACCTCCAATTACAATGGTCTATCCATCTAATCGTACTGTCTTATCTTCTAAAGATCCGAAAGCGGTAATTATGGTTATTTTACTGTTTATGCTATTAAAATGTGCTATTAAACTATGCTAACAATCGTATCGTTCATGCAAAGGCCGGTGCTGCACTCTTTTTTGGAAAGAGAAATTACGACAAGGATACTTTTCCTAGAGAAGTTATTCGGTAAGTAGGGAAGTTTAATTTACAATTCTTAATCTTTTATTGATTATACGATATTGATTTAGAAATTGCGTGTCTAAACGAGATGGAATTTTGATACACTCGAAGGTAAATTTGACATGATTGATTCGTAAACACCTTTCTATTGATATTAATACATAGAACTTTTACAGTTTGTTTTGGCACGTTATACTCAACAGGAACATCCAAAAAATCCACAAAAACGGCAAAAGACAAATAAACTTATCAGCGATGTGATTCGTGATTCAAGTGATGACAAAGTCGAATTTACTTTAAAATCTGATATATCGAAGGAAACAAGTATCAAATCATCAACTACTATCAATGATCGAGATATAGATCTTATCAGGGGATGGTATTATTGCGGGTATGTATATACATGCTTATTAAGAAAATGAAATAAAAAGCATTCTCTTACAATCATACATTCTACTTTACAGAAGCCATAATTTCACCAGCTCAGCTTGGTATGTATTTATTTATGTATTAAGCACGAATTACATAACTAAGTTATAACTTAAATTAAATTGTTTATTTATAATATTTCTTTTAAGGGGCAAAATTTCCGCTTCTCGTGATACAAAAGAACCTCAGTTGAGAATTAATAATTGGGAATTAGGTGTCTTCTTTCCAATTAGAGGAAGTGAGAATGATCAGGGAGATTGGTTTACCGAAAATGGTGTCCCAGTGCCATATCAGAGGCCACCAAGATGTTATGACCTAAATGATGTTCCTTGGGTAAGTCTTTAATTTTGAATTTGAGTTTGACAATTCCTGATTTTTATTAATTGTATTATATATACGTTATAGTTTTCTTTTAATTAAAATTGCTGGCTAGGGGTTTCTTTTTTGCATATATAGTGGTTTGGGTGATTGGAGATTATTCATTTGCGTACACTATGATTTTAATAATTTGTTGTATATAATACAATACACTTGTTTAGTATAAAGTTTTGCAATAGGTTTTAATAAGAATTTAATCTTTATTATTACGCATAAACCTAAAGATTATTAACTTGAAACATTCAGCTATTTTTTATAATTTTGATTAGAAACAAATTAGTTTGGTTTTATAAAGGCATGCTGTTATTTGTTTAAGGGTAAAGGGTACATAGATTATGTTTTATATGATTTTTGTAGTACAATGTGATTTTTATAAAAAATAAACCTTTGTTACTAATAACCTTTTTACTGTTGTAATTAATTTTTATTAAATTTTTATATAATATAGAATAAGATATATTTTTTATAATAGTAAAATTTTTAATAGATAAAATATTTTTAAAAATATATTTGTATTTATTGTAAAGTTTTTTGTAATTGTTTTAAATTTTTTTTGTAGTTATACAAAATTATTAATTTTAATTGGTTTAAATCATATAATTTTTATATAATTTATATAAACAATTTATGATATCTAATTTTTAAACATATGTATTTTAAGGGTGTGGCAACTTAGTGAAGTGGATAGGTTGTTAACCTTCAAGTGGCAGGTCTAAGGTTCAATTTCTACAGATAATGAATTTTGGAAATTATATCTATGTTATAGTAACTGTCTTTTGTCAATTAGTTGGGTTCATGCATTTGTAATTTTAGGTATATCAGGTTGGAGCCCATCTAATTTTGGAAGCTCAGAGCATTTATGTAAAATAAAATATTACATATATATAGAGGAATATTAAAACCAGTATTGCATAAAGTTTTAGTACAAACTTATGATAAGACTACCAAGTAAGAAAATTAAGAAACTGAGAAAACAGAAGTCTACTTAGAAATTCTAAGTAAAGAAATAGTACAAACTTTCGATAATGCTATTGGACTGATAGAAGTTCATGAAACATCTTCATAGAAACTATTAGATGAACCAGATACAAGAAGTGCAAAAGAGCATATAATTAACCAGGTCACCAGAATTGTCAGAAGAAAGAATATATAAGTATATCATACAAAGCTATCTGAATTAAAAGTCTGAAGAAGTTCATTGTTGGTTCTGTATTGCAGCTAGTAGGAGATGATGAAGAAGAAGTCAAAAAAATAGATATCAGGATTTGGATGAACTTTATAAAGATAATAGTAATTTAATAGATAACCTTGACCACAAATGTTGGTCTTAGCTATAACATCAAATCAGGTTAATGCTAAAAAGAAAATATGACTTGCTTTGATAGGTTTGCCTTAAAAATAAAAATAGTTTAAAGATTATAGTCTTATGATTAAAAGTGAATAGATCTGAGTCTGTGATCTGATGAAATTAATACTAAAGTCAGATCAGAGGGTTTAAATAAAACATCTAAGCAGGGATGTTAGTACGACAATTGGTAGAAAACCCTTGGATGAACTTCTTAAATAGGTAATATAAAAAAGTTACATATATAACTAGTTGTACACTCATCTAATAGTTCAATATGAATATGTCTGTATAAAACATATACTAAACATAAATATTAATAAAAAGCTAGGACCAAAGAGGTTATTTTAATACTGAAAAAAAAACATATGTATTTCAATTAATATTTAATTAATTTTCAATACTATAATTAATAAAAAAAAACTTTTTCTGTTGATCTAAGTACCAAAATTAGCACTAAACAAAATACAAACAAATCTCAAATTCAAAACTAAGAAACAGCAATGACAATTCTAAGAACAAGAATTTAGTATTTAAAAAGATACTTAAATAGAATCAAATTTCTATTAACTTGAATATTTAGTCCTTTTTATAATTTTTAGGAAATTTTTAACAAAATTTTATACAAATTGTGAAAAATTGTCTTGCCTTTAAAAAACAAAAATACATAATATATAACTAGTATACAACAACAAACAAATAAACAAACATGTCTTATTTTAGAAAGAACAATAGTCACATAACAATAACAAACTAAAAGATTATATATAAAATTAAATAAAAAAACAGGTTTAGGATAAGTATTAGATAAATAAAAGCTAATAAAATTAGATATAATAAACAAGATAGAAGAATTATACAAACAAGAGATGTTATATTGCATCAGCAGATTAGGTGCCAGAAATTTAAGGTTTATAAATAGTGAGATATTAACAAAAGAACTAAGAACAATAATGTTTTATGTTTTAGATAATAGCAAACATGTGATCAAAAGTTTAGTAATAATAAATTTTAACAAAATCATAGCAATAAATTTATTAATCTATAGTCGAATACTAAGTCTATTAAGACAAAAAGAGAATAGAATTCCAAATAATATTCTGATTAAAGAATAAGCAACTAAAGTTAGAATAACTTATAAAAATCCAGAAACAGTAAACTATATAATAAATATAAATAATAAACAAACATAAGAAGAAACAAACAGGATAAAAGATATAGAGAAAAAAAGTAAAGTAGAAAGGTCTTGGAAATAAGTATAAAAAAACAGTAACAAGATTAAAAGCAACAACTAGAAGAAAAAAATCTGAGGTCTTATGAATTAATAAAACTAAAAACAGTAACTGCATAGAGAAGAAAAACTAGAAATAACAAACCAAATACTAATAACAATATTCTTTAAAATAACTAAGAAAAAAGATATAAATAAAACAAAGTTCAAGGATAAGAAGTTCAAAGAAATCAAGAAATACTCTTAAAAAATATACTTAAAAATAGTAAAAAAATATATGAAGAAGATGCTTAAAAAAAATTCAAAAATAAAAAGAAAAAAAAATAGAAAACATTATAGTTTTAGAAAACTAAATTTTAGCACTACTATTGGAAGATAGCTTATAGTCATCAGATAATAGAACATATAATTAAAATAATTCATTTAGAGCAAACATTTTAGCATACAACCTGCCAAATGACAACAAAGTTGAAAGAATGAATTATTTAAAATAAGTACTAAGAGACAACAAGCATATTAAATCAATTAGAGAAAAATTCAAAAAAGAAAACAACTAGGTAGTAATTAGTTTTGACTATAAATTTGGTAAAAGGATGATGTAGTATACTAGTAAGGAACCATAGGTTGTTTTGTAACTGTTGGAATCTAATTCGAGTTGTAATACCGAGAAGATCAGGATTGTTAATTAGTACAGCAATCAAGAAAGTTAAAAAAAAAGAAGATAATTGGTTAGTTATAATCTTAGATAAAGAAATAAAAGATGCTGCAGAAGTAAATTATAAGCAATCTAAAAAACACAAGAAGGAAGTTAAACAGACCAATTCAAACAATATAGAAGATGAAATTGTAAATGAAAAAAAAGAAATCTTAAAAATATAGAATTTTAACAATATAGAATTTATCTCTAGATATTAACAAAAAAGAAATAAAATATATATGCAGAAGTTTCTAAAATCTATACACAATATGAGTTAAAAAGACACAATATAAGGCATTAGTAGTAATTAAAGTGAGCTTTAAAAAAAAAAAATGTGTCCTGGTCTTTGTCTTTAGAAAATAATAAACTTGCAAGAGTAACTAAAAAAGATAAAAACTATAATCAAAAAGATAAACAGTGCTAATTTACAGTAAAACTGTTAGATATTCTCAAAGAAGCTTTAAAAGTTTTACTTATACAGTGTTTAAAAAATAAAGAAGCAAAGGCTGTATATATTCTAGCAAATAGAAATAAGAACCAAAAGAAGTTTGAAATAATAATCTTTGTAAATTTTCTGAAGAAATAAATTTAGCTTAAACCAAATTAATATAGTATAACAACTATTAAGTAATTTAAAAAAATTACTAAAGAAAAGAAACAAAAAAAAATAAAATATCAAAAGAAAGAAAATGAACAATATCAAAGTTAAGGAACAGAAAACAAATAACCTTAGAGTTAAGAGAAACAGTGCAAAGAATAGCAAGAAATAATAATACAAGCAAAGAGCAAGTTTTGAAAGGTCAAACAGAGTATTTGACTAATAGTATAGCAGAAGAAAAAAGTTTATTGAAAAGAAAAAACAAACACAAAGCTTAACCTAAAAAAAGAACTTTAAATACAGAAAACATCCTAATCAAATTTTTGAATAGACTAAAAAAGTTAGAAGAAGCAAGAAAAACAATAATAAAGGGTCTTGCAAATCATTCCTAAAACTTGTTACAGTTAAATTAAAAAAACCAGGTGTAGAAATAGTTTTCTTTTTATAAGATCAAAGATATAAGCAGAAGGCAATATAAATGAAAGCTCTATGAACTGATAATAATAAAAAAGTTGAAAAGAGAAAAAAAAGTATAGTAGAAAAATGAGAGAAAAACATTTATAGAAAGAATTTATTGGCTGAAACATAGCAAAGAACCCTAAGTATTTATATCAAATAATACAAAAATTATATTTTTGATGCATTTTAATTATATAAAATTCTTTTTTAATGTATCTGCATAAACATTATAAAGATCACATCAGAAATTTATTTTGAAAATTTTTGTCTGTCTGCATGTATATTTAAATTTGTAATTTAGTATAATAAAAATATGCATGCTTATATGTTTATTATATTATATGCTTTAGACATGCAATATTACACATTAACCTAGTACTATAAACAGTATAAAATTAAATTTGTGACATATAATATTAATGATCTGAAAAGTAACAATTAAAAGATAAAGGCATTATATATATAGACATTAGACAACAATATAGATGTAATAGAACTTGCAGAAATAAATATTATAATAAGAGAAAGAAAATTTTTAACAAAAGACTGCAATAAGTATAAAACTTTTGGACAAGTGTAAACTTGAGTAAGAAAAAAGGTTTAGGTGTAGGGTTTTTAATTAGCAAACAATAGAAAAAACATTTAGACCGAGTAGATAGAATAATAAATATATGATTTCAGCTAATTTTATATTTAAACAAACAAAAATCTTAGTTATTATGATATACATACCATCTAACAACAAAGAAGGAAAGATTAA